TTAGACACTGCCACCCTCTCACAGCTCTAAGTCCTTTAAATTCTTTGAAATTTATGTTTAACACATATGAGCCATACTAATTTATTATATTATTTACTCGACTTTTTATTATTTTCACTCATAAATTTTACTATTTCAAAGATGTGCGATTTAGGCTATCGATTTTCTAAATCGTATAAATGATGAAAAATTCGCAACATTACAAAAGACTTGTAACAAATTACTTTGTTATTAGAAAAACGTTAAACATGTACTAATAGGTGCCTGAAATGTCAGACTACAATTTCCAACGGTCGTTTGCGTAGAAATCAGTACCCAAATGGGATATGCAACAAAGAATACCTTAAGTCTTGCCTTAAGTGGTACGCAACTCTCTCTCCTATTATAACAGTTGAATAGAATCAGTTAATCTTCCGGATAATTTCGCCACGTGTGGGCGGCAACTTAGTCATATCGCACCCGTCACTCGATAGTCCCGGTAAGGTGGTATAATCTTGACGTCATTGTATCAAAATCTGATAGAATACGAGTCGCGGACAAGGTCTTATCCGGCATATATCGACTGGTGCTACACCAGCCGCGACATTTGGTCGCGCACATGAATGCGTTCGCGTAGTTCCAGATGCATAGGCGACCAGTCTCCGACACGGAAGCCGGACGGGCAAGCTTAGAATAAAATAGTCGACGTGCTATATGACGGACGCGACAAAAATGGGAGGGACGGATTTTGACAGGCGTGCGAATCGATTTGACACGCGAGTGAATTCGGCACGTCGAGCGATATTACGGCTATCACCATCGCCGTTTCTCACGCGGAAAGAGCTATAGCTGCTAGTTATAAAAGTTAGTTTGGCCGAATCAGATTTTTTGAGATTTTTCGAGAACGCGGGGATGACACCGCGAGAAGGGCAGAGAAAGAGAAATATTGGCTGCAAGAAGAATCGAGGGAAATAAATCGCCGGCGCTATAGTGACGTTTTATCCCACGCAACAATGGCGCGAGAAATCTTCGAAGAGCGACGCGCCAGTTCCAATAAATAATGACGGGCCGGGACCGTCGTCCCTTTCCCTTCTCCCTCGGGGGAAAGAACTTTTAGGCGTGCCGGTATTTCGCGAAACGATTCCGAGCCCTTCGATTCAACGACGCGCCCGCCATTTCAATTTAATCCAATTCAATTAAATCGGATTTGACGTTTTTCACGTCGCTTTTCTGCAAAAGTTTCAGAAACGGGACATCAAAGGGGAAAATAATTGTTTTTTAAATACATCGTAAATAAGGACTAAAAGTAATGATTGAAAGTCCATAAAAAGTAATTCGTACGAATTACTTTATAAACAGGGTGTTATATAATACCCGCCCCACCTCTTATCTTTTGGTTAGAGCGAACTGAGTCGAAAAATCATCTATCATTTTGTAATTTTCGCAATGGTTAACGAGTTATTAATTATTAAAAATCGCTGTCTTAGCCCGGCCTACCGCCCAACTCGCACATGACACACGGCAACGGCTACGTATAATAAACAACTCTCCGCGCGCCTAGCAACGCCAATCGTGGGACAGCCGCATCTTTCCGCGCGCCTAGCAACGCCAATCGCGGGACGGCCGTATCTCGCCGCGAGCTTGAATTGGACGGTAGATCGGACTAATGCGTGGTCTACAACACGTGGAGTAAGCGTGGTGTAAGGAGTTAGGGAGCGCCCTAACTTATAGCTTTTGGAGTTAGGAAGCTGAAATAGGTGCATGCACTTTCATATAATTGTAACACTGATTGATGGCAGTTTGATTCAACGAGAGTACGCCTAAGAGCTGAAGTAGGAGTAAGTAATAAAATGGATTTATTTCCTTATTCCTACTCCTTACTCCAGCTTACGTCATGTATTGTAGACCAGCCTTTAGACAGCAATTTTTAATAATTAATAACTCGTTAACTATTGCGAATATTGCAAAATGGTAGAGGATTTTTCGACTCAGACTAGTCCGCTCTATTCATAAATAGAGATGAGGCGAGTAACACCCTGTATATAAATCATAACATGAATGAAATATGGAGAATGATTTC